GAGAGAGAGAGAGAGAGAGAGAGAGAGAGAGAGAGAGAGAGAGAGAGGGGTAAAGGCCACACAACAGAATAAACAGTATTATCTCAATAGTGTAAAACAAGCCAATGAAAAGCAAAAACAAAAACTAACAAATGGGGGCAGTCATGGTGACTCACACCTATTAATTCCAGCACTTTAGAAGGCTGAGAGGCAGGAGAACCACTTGAGGCCATGAGTTCAAGATCAGCCCAGCCAACATAGCAAGACCCTGTCTCTAGAAAAAAAAATTTAAAAATTATCCAGTCATGGTGGCATGCACCTATAGTCCCAGCTACTGAGGGCTGAGAGGCAAGAGGATCAGTTGAGTCCAGGAGTTTGAGGCCGCAGTGAGCTGTGATAGCACAGCTGCACTGCAGCCTGGGCCGTAGAGTGAGATCCTGTATCAAAAGAACGACAAAACTAACAAACAAAACCAGAAAAGACCAGAAGAAACAGAAACACAAAATGTTAACCTTATTATAAATAAATCAATTAAAACCAAAAATATTATCTCGTTCCAACATACATCCTGCTGCAGTGCCACTGTATTATTTTTTGGCTTATGTGTTTTGTGTTTGGGAAACCAGATTCAAATGAAATCTTAAGATCTGGATGTGGCTTTTACCTGTGTCAGTAACTCACATAGACAAGTCAGATAGGTCTTTGGTTTCCAGGCTTCTACAGCTTTAACTCTGGAAGATAGGTCACATACTCTCTTCTAACGTGGGAGGTGCTGCTCATGATAGCTACTCTGTGTCCCTGGCTATGTCCTGAAGCTTAACTGATTTTTGGCTTCGAAGTGGTCTCATCCTTATGATCAAGTACTTGAACAATGATTATAGGAGGGTACTGGGAAATCACCTTTTTGGGGGCTTTGGTAAATGTTTAATCAATGTGCGCAGGTAACACTAGGCCTATAACTCTTCCAATTCACAGCTCAGCTCACAGAGTCTATTTTCCTCCCACAGTGTCCTAAAGAAATTGGGTTTGCTGTGATCTCCTCCTTCTTTTTGGTTTTCCTCGATTGCCTCCTTGAAATGCCGACCTCATCTGGCTTGTCTCCAGGCATCTCCCAGCCTTTCCCTCTGTTCTTTTCCTGGGTATCTTCTAGATGTTGGTATTCCCCAGGACGCCATTCTCTATGCCCTTCTGTCACTCCCTGAATCGGTCTTCACACCAAGAATCCTGCTCCAAGGGCTTCCAGTCACTTTTCCTTCCTTGCTAGGAAAGGGAAGGGGAACGAGATTCAGAGTGCTTACCTAAGCAATTGGCACAATGTTACTCAAGGTATCACGGAGAAGCATAAATATGGTGAAAGTTGAAACATTTTATTTCACTAGTCATAATTTGTTAGGTGATAATTCTGTACCCCAAGTTTCAGTAAGAAAATAGAATTTCCTTCCTCAGGTTATAAAAGCAAAAGCAATTCATGATATTTTCTCCCTCGAAGTTCTTCTTCCCTGTCAGTCTTTATCTATCACCCATTAATAAATTGTACTTACGCCTTCCAACATACATTTCTACTTCATTAACAATTTTTCTCATTCCTCTAAATTTCGTTTCTTCACCCGTCATGTACCATCTATACCATGCTGATTCATATATGCGTTACTTAGTAAAACTAATGCTTAAGTAGTCAGTTCTATCTACAAGAGTGTAAGGCTGGGTGCAGTGGCTTATGCCTATAATACTAGCACTCTGGGAGGCCAAGGTGGGCAGATCACCTGAGGTCTGGAGTTCAAGACCAACCTGGTCAACATGGCAAAACTCCATCTCTACTAATAATACAAAAATTAGCTGGGCATGGTGGCACACACCTGTAGTCCCAGCTGCTTGGGAGGCTGAGGCAGGAGAATGGCTTAAACCCAGGAGGCAGAGGTTGCGGTCTCCTGGGTTGAAGAATATCATGCCACTGCACTCCAGGCTGGGCAACTCTGTCTCAAAAAAAAAAAAAAAAAAACACCCAGAGTGTAAGGCACTAAAGGTAGCACGTTATTTCTTGGTTTTTTTGCCTTTCTATCCCTTACAACCTTGCACTAATGCCTGGGCTACACATAGTAAATCTTTCAGTATGTGCCAGTCAATGGGTATAATGGGTTGACATTAACATAATCCAATTATGTTGAGAGATACCACCAAATATTTTTTAAATGTATATGGTTTAATTTGTACATTTTTTTAAGATGGACTTCTATTCTGAGAAATTAATTGTTGGGATGAGGCATGGAAAAGACTACTGAATGGTTCCTCGATTAAGTACTAAATTATTATTTTTCAAATTCAACAGTTTCCTGTTCATGCCTCCCACTACTTCTCCAACTGCAACTAGTAGTATCCTCCTTAGAATGCTGTTATAGAGGTCTCAGCTGCTTGCCGGCACAGTGAGGAAGAGATCAGATGATTTATAGCAGTGGCCCCCAACCTTTTTTAGCACCAGGAACTGGTTTCATGGGAGACAACTTTTCTATGATCCAGGGGAAGGGGTTGGTATGAGGATGATTCAAGCACATTACATTTATTGTGCACTTTATTTCTATTATTATGACATTGTAATATTTAATGAAAGAATTCTACAACTCACCATAATGTAGAATCAGTGGGAGCCCCGAGCTTGTTTTCCTGCAACTAGATGGTCCTATGTGGGGACAGTGATGGGAGGCAGTGACAGATGATCAGGCATTAGATTCTCATAAGGAGCACTGCACCCTAGATCCCTCGAATGTGCATTTCAGAATAGAGTTTGCGCTCCTGTAAGAATCTAACACTGGGTGAAGCTCAGGTGGTAATGTGGGCATTGGAGAGTGGCTGTAAATACAGATGAAGCTTTGCTGGCTCACCCACCACCCATCTCTGTGCTGTGTGGCCATTTGCACATTACACATTTACAATAAATGTGTAAATCCCAATACATTTACACATTTATTGTGTAAATCCTAAGGTTACAGAAAATCTAAACCTTAAGATTTACACAATAAATATGTAAAGACATTACAGGTTAAGAAGGTTATAAAAAACCTAAACCTTAGGATTTACACAATAAATGTGTAAAGACATTCCATTTAGATTACACAGAAAATCTAAAATGTGGCCGGGCGCGGTGGCTCACGTCTGGCTACCCAGCACTTTGGAAGGCCAAGGTGGGCAGATCACCTGAGGTCAGGAGTCAAGACCAACCTGACCAATATGGTGAAACATCGTCTCTACTAAAAATATAAAAATTAGCTGGGCATGGTAGGGGGGCATGTAGTCCCAGCTACTTGGGAGGCTGAGGCAGGAGAATCGCTTGAACCTGGGAGACAGAGGTTGCAGTGAGCTGAGATTGCGCCACTGGACTCAAGCTTGGGCGACAGAGCAAGACCCCATCTCAAAAAAAAAAGAAAATCTAAATCTAATGTAACAGTGTGGCATCTTTTCTTAAATCCCAATACCGCTGCAACTACATTCTCAGATAGTCTCATTTGCTTGAGTCAGGCATTTTTCATTTCTTTTTTCTTTTTTTTGGTTAAACTTCATATTGAAGATAAAGTTAAACTGAAATAACTTTGAGTCCATCCTGCTACTGTTTGCTAAGATTGATAATTTGCCTTTTATTCTTTTAAGTTACAGATAGTTTCTAAATACATTCTTAATGATTTTATGTGAAACGTAGTTCTTAAAGATTATGTACAGAATTCCATGCACAAATTACTCAGTAAGGAAATCAGTAGTTCAGATATTGTTTCTGTGACACCTTATTAAATATATTGCAATGCAACTGTAATATTTTCTTTCCAACACTTCCTAGATAAAAAATATATATATATACGATAAAGGGTTTCCAGTTTTTGTTTACCTAAATGTTATAGTGGAAGAATTGTTTACAGTCATTTCTTCATGTATCTTATTATGAAAGTAAAATGCAGGAAGTTAAGAGAAATGATTACCTCCAGTGAAAATGTATTCAGTATTCATACTTTTGCAGAATGCTTTAAATTATTGCACTACATCACTTTTTAAATAACATCATTGTGCATTTACACAGCTTAAAGACATTAATTTCACATTTCCCAATTAAATACAAATACCTCACTTTACTATGTGTCCTGTTAGGTTATAGAGACCATATCTTATTTATTATTGTTTCTCCATCACAAACTGCTTTGCCTTAGCTCTTAAACATTCAATAAATATTTGTTGAATGTTTGAAGAAATGAGGAATCCAAACTCCTGCTACAAAAAACAGTATTATGATTTTTAATATATCTTGTTGTCCCATTAAAGAGAGTTTAACTCTTTGCATCACTGTCCATTCTGGTTGTCATTCCCTCCTGCCTGCCTCAGAGAAAGATGGTCCTAAAATTAACCGTAAATGATTCTTTGCTATTAGTATACAAACATGCACACATCTCTCCTACTTTCCAAAACAATGAAACCCTTGACTTCAAATAGCTACACCTTTCTTTCTCTCTTTGACCTTCATTACCAACCCTCTTAAACATCTCTGTCTTTTTTGGGGGATGGAGTCTCGCTCTCTCGCCAGGCTGGAGTGCAGTGGTGCCATCTGGGCTTACTGCAAACTCCACCTCTCAGGTTCAAGCAATTCTCCTGCCTCAGCCTTCTGAGTAGCTGCAACTACAGGTGCGCACTACCATACCCAGCTAATTATTGTATTTTTAGAAAAGACAGGGTTTCACTATGTTGGCCAGGATGGTCTCGATCTCTTGACCTTGTGATCCACCCTCCTCAGCCTCCCAAAGTGCTGGGATTACAGGAATGAGCCACTGCGCCTGGCCCGTCTCTGTCTTCAATTCTAGTTCTCTCCTCACTTCACTTCAATCTGGGACTGCACTCTGGAATCAGACACTGGGGATTCTAATCTCAGCACTGCCTCTCATCAGCTTTGTGGCCATAAGCCAGTCACACAACCTCTCTAAACCCAACAGGGCATATCCCACAGGGCTGTCATGAAAATTGAGATAATGCATTTAAAGTATTTCTGTATCACCTGGCACATAGTAAGTGTTCCATAAACGGTATTCTTCCTGTTGACTGAATGCATAATAGGCGTTCAGAGATGAGGAAGATTGGGGTAGGCTTATTTTGCATCTACCTTACATAGTGAATGTTTCATGGGGGAGGTAATATTTGAGTTGGGTTTTGAAAGATAATAACAATATCTTACATCTATAGAATGTTGACTGTGGGTTGGGGATGATTCTAAGTGCTTTACATGGTTTGTTTTACTTAGTATTCAAAACATTCCTGTCAGATAGGATTTCGGTAGACAGTCAGTCTGAGGCAGGACAGGGAGGACAGACTGAAAAGAATAAGGCCGGGCACAGTGGTCAAACCTGTAATCCCAGCACGCTGGGAGGCCAAGGCGGGTGGATAACCTGAGGTCAGGAGTTTGGGACCAGCCTGGCCAACATATAGTGAAACTCCATCTCTATTAAAAAATACAAAAATTAGTCAGGCATGATGGTAGATGTTTGTAATCCCAGCTACTTGGGAAGTTGAGGTAGGAGAATTGCTTGAACTCAGGAGGCAGAGGTTGCAGTCAGCTGAGATCATGCCACTGTACTCCAGCCTGGGTGACAGAGCAAGACTCCATCTCTCAAAGGAAAATGAATAAATAAATAAATAATAAAAAGAATGAATAAAAACTCAGAGGCAGGAAAGACATGCTGATTTCTGAAGATGGTGATGAAACTGCTAGCTAGAGTGAGGAGCTTAATAGACAAATGATGTTGGACAAACCAGGTCAAAATTATAGGCCTTGACAACCAAACTCTCCAAAATTTGGGTTTATCTAATGGGCAAAATAAAGAGCAGTTACAAAGATATGACTTGGAGAAGGGAAGACACAGAATGGAAGCAGTTGTTGGCACAATGACTTGGTGACATGCACTGGGAAGCCCCAGGGACCCACAGCCTCTGCTTCCACTTGTGGTTACCACTGGCCACCAACAGAAGAGTACCAGCAGTTTCCTGTAAAGTGGGAGCTTTAAAAAGGTTTATTGAGGGAATGAATGAGTAAAGGATGGACTGAATAATAAAGGATGAATGGGAGGCTATTTCTAGGGGTGAAGTGATGAGAGCCGGGACCATGTTTAAGACAATGGAAATGGAAATGGAAATATGAAAGTAAATCCTAGAAACAATTTCAAAGAAGAAATCATAAGACTTGGATACATACTGAACATAGTAACTATTTAGAACTATATTTCAAATGTATTATTTACTGCAGAATGCAGTGTCAGAGCAGTTGCCTTTGGCACACTCTCTTTCTAAGTTTTGTTAAGTAGAAATTCCGCAGGCCGGGCGCGGTGGCTCAAGCCTGTAATCCCAGCACTTTGGGAGGCCGAGGCGGGTGGATCACAAGGTCAAGAGATCGAGACCATCCTGGTCAACATGGTGAAACCCCGTCTCTACTAAAGCTACAAAAAATTAGCTGGGCATGGTGGTGCGTGCCTGTAATCCCAGCTACTCAGGAGGCTGAGGCAGGAGAATTGCTTGAACCCAGGAGGCGGAGGTTGCGGTGAGCCGAGATCGCGCCATTGCACTCCAGCCTGGGTAACAAGAGCGAAACTCCGTCTCAAAAAAAAAAAAAAAAAAAAAAAGAAATTCCGCATTTGGAACAGAAACACATTTCTCATGCTATCATATGTAACGATTATTACCATGAAAACTCATGTCTCTTTGCTTTCTACTCCTACTCCAACCACCCAAGTTCTTACCAGTTTTACCTCCTAAGTGGATTGTTGTTGAAGTCTCCTACTGAACTTTGGCCAAATAAACCTCCTCATTCTCAATCACACCTGACAGTTGACGCCTCTCACCCTTTTGTTCATACAGTTGCATTCCCCCATGAATATTCTTTCTTCTATAATAGCGTTTCGTTCCCGTAAGCAGTTAGAACCTTAATCATCCTTCAGACTCAGATGGCATGCTGGCTTCTCCATGCTGTCTGATCAACCCAGATGGAACTGGCAGCTCTCTCTCCTGAACTTCTGTAGCTACTGTATTTCACTATACTGCCTTGCCACTTGGGTAACTGGGTATCCATTTGCCAGTATTTTATTCGTATCCCCTACAATGACAGTAATGTGTGTTGCCTGGTTATCCAATACATATTTGTGACATGAATTCAAATGATCTTAAATACTCCAAATCCCTTCCCAAACAAGAGTTTCCCTCTGCCATTAGTGTATGCAGCTTTGCCCTAGTATATGTTTTTTTGCAACATCAAGAATTTCACATCACTTTTGTTGGGGATACTTAGAAAAAGAAGTTTTAAGTTGAGAACAGAAAAGAATTGTTAAAGTGAAAGTACAGGATTAACTATTTTTCAAGGAATCTTTTGGATGGAGAAATGAATCTGAGGAAAACTAAGCCTAAACCTTTTTTGCTGTATCCCTTAAGGTGAAGAGAAGTGAACTGCACAAAAAAGAGGCATAGGGCAGGACACAGTGGGTCACATCTGTAATCTCAGCACTTTGGGAGGCCAAGGTGGGAGGACTGCTTGAGGTCAGGAGTTCAGGCAACATAGGGAGACCATGTCTCTAGAAAAAAAAGTTAGAAATTACCGGGGCAAGGTAGGATGTACTGTTAGTCCCAGCTACTGATGGCTGAGGCAGGAGGATCGCTTGAGCCCAGGAGTTCAAGGCTGCAGTGAGCCATGATCACAACACTGAACTTTTAAGCCTGGGAGACAGAGTGAGACACTCTAAGAAACAAAAATTTCAAAAAAGGATTTTTTTCTTTTTTAATTTTATAAAAGATACTTGGGACTCCAGCTTTGGGTCTGGGGAACCCAGAAGTACCTGAGAGTTGGAAATCCATGGCATTGAGGAGCTAAAGGAGTGATGAGAAAAAGGTGTCTCTTAGCAGGCATATTATCTGCCAAAAGGCAAGCTGAATCTGTAAACTTATCTCTGAACTTACCATGGAGGGTGATTTTAGACTCTCTAGAAATTTATTTGTACTCTACTCATTATTACTATGCAGGATGTAGAAATCGTTATTTTGTTGTTTACTGTTATTTTAATGAGGGTAGAAATAATTCATTTCTTTGGTTCACTCTTAAGACTCTATTTTGTTCTTAAAATCTTAGGCTCTTCAATCATGAATTCTACTACTAGGACTTTTGGAAATCTAATGTTGTAGGCTGGAGAGAACTATTAGAATAATATGCAACCAGTATTGTTGGAACTGTTAAACCTGGCTAACCAGGTGTCATTCCACAGTGAGGTTGGCAATTGTTGGGGTTCCCAGAAAGTGACTCATCTCTAATGGCTGAGTCTGTGGACACGTCGCTGCCCTTGTCTTAAAATACCTTTCTTCCCTCCATTTTTATTTTTTTGGCCAAGTTAACCCACACTTATCCTACATAATTTTACCCAGATACCATCTCTTCCAAAAAGTCTCCCCTTGCTACTTTATTAGAGCCACTCCCTGGGTTGGGCACCACCCTTGCCTCTTCCCACGGTGGCCTTGTGGCAGTTGCCATTCGCGGGTCCTCCTCCCTACTGCGTAAGCTCCTCCAGGAGCCCTGTGGGTGCCAAGCAGACTTGGAAGGCTGAGGGCTCAATACACAAACTCAATAATCATTGAATGAGTAAATGCACTGTCTCTGTATAGGAAATGCAGGTGAACGTCCTTCTGCTTCACTTAAATAAGCTGCCAATATCGGAGTTTTAGGATCATTTTGGAGAACTGCAGTTCGCTCTGTTTTCTCCCCACCCGGCAGAGTTAGCTAAAGCAGCCTGAAGGCTAGCAGTTTGCCTGTGTGCCCTAAGCTAGTGACAGCTCATATCAAGTCCAGTATTTAAGGAGCGTGATTACTTTTACTATGTAGTCCCCAGGGAGAAAAGTACACTCAAAAACATTTTTGTATCTTTTTGTATCTTGTTGCACAAGATACAGAATTATGCACAAAGATACAAATTGAAACTCGAATTGAAATTTGGCTGCAAATTTATTAAACCCACCCCAAGAATCTTACCTATTAAAAAAAAAAAAAGAAAAGAAAAGAGATCCCTGGAAACTCATTTTGATGTGTAATATAAGCCGGATACCACCAATCACATGCATGTAAATCAATTACTTCAGTTTTTGTCTGGCGGGAGTACAACAGGTCTTCATATGATTCAATGTTACAAAGTTTTCCAGAGAACAAATGACAAGAAGTGTGAACCCAAGGCTATGATGAAGCCGCAATTTGAGTACAAAATCATGAGCTACACATAAAGAACTAGCTTTAAATTCTGAAGTAGATCTTACTTTTAAATGTTACAGTGGTGGGTAATAATTTCCTTTGCTTCTGTTGCTATTAAAAAAGTAAATATGTGTAGATAAAAATGCAGGATTAAAAAAGAACTACTTTGCAGAATAGGATGCCTGTCATTTATATTAAGCCCAATGCGTGGGAAATGGATCAATGACTTGATGCGGTGCCTATAAAATATTACAATCCAAAGTTGCATTAAGACATAAAAATAACTGCTGATAAAAGTTTACTCAAAGCAGCATCTGCCCCAATTCCGTTTGTATTTTTATCGTCGAGACCTAAGGCGCCTTGGGAACCAGACTGTGCGTTCCCCCACCCCCCGCGGTAGCCGGCGGCGCGCGGCGCCTCAGGAGCGCCCCTTCGAAGCCCCGCGGGGGCGGCCGTGGCCCCGGGGCAGCCGCTGGCGGGGGCCCCACCGAGGTCCGAGCCCTCTGAGCCCCCCCGTTCCCCGGGCCCGAGATCCCTCTACTACTCACCCCGGCTGCCTTTCGAAACGCCGGCGTGCGGTGGGGAGAGTTTTCCCGCAAATTATTCGCCCGTCAGAAAACGGCGCCGTGAGGGAGCGAGCGTGAGAAAGGGAGCGCGTGAGCGGCCGGAGAGCACAACCCAGGAGCCGGCGCCCTGCGTCCGAGCGCCCAGTCCGCCCCCGGGCCCGCGGAGGGCGGGGGCCCCGAGCAGTGAGGCGCGGGGAGCGAAGCCTGCGGGCGCCGGGGGTTGGCGGGACGCGCGCTCCGTGCCGGCGCCGGCCTCGAGCCCGCGCTCCCTCCCCCCGCCCGCGTGCCCGCGCCGCTGCGCGATGCAGTGTGGGGAATGGCTGGGGTTGGCTGAAGAGCGCACAGTGGAGTTTTAATGTCCGCCATGTTGGCCATGGCGTATTGAAGAGAGCGAGCGAGAGAGGAGCGGAGCGGCACAGCCTCCCACCCTCCCGGCTGGTGTTAGTGCCCGGACGGCGGGCTCTGCGCTCCGCCCCTCAAGTCCCCGGCAGCGGTTGGCGAGTGGGGACCGAACCCCTGGTTCTCCATGATCCCGCTGGCCGGGGCCGTTTCCCCAGAGCGGAGAGGTATCTGCTGCGCCTGAGATGAGTAAACTGTCGTTTCGGGCGCGGGCGCTAGACGCCTCGAAGCCGCTGCCGGTTTTCCGCTGTGAGGATCTGCCCGACCTGCACGAATACGCCTCGATAAACAGGGCCGTGCCGCAGATGCCCACCGGAATGGAGAAGGAAGAGGAGTCGGTACGTGTTAACTCCCCTGTCCGACCCACCGTCAGGCCCCGCTCCCTGTGCTGCCTGCGGCGGCGGCGGAGCAGCAAACCCACACAAAATGGCCGCCATCTTCTCTTCGCCGCCGACTCTCAGTCGCCGGCCGGGCCTTTACCCCGCCTCCCCCGGCCTCGACCCCCGGCCGCCGCGGCCCAGCGGGGCCCCTTCTAAGGCCACCCGCCGACCCCGGCCACTTGTACCCGGGTCCCGCGGAGTTCGGGGGCCCGAAAGGCACAAAGGGGTCACGTGACGAAGCTGCCGGCAGCCATTTTGTGTCTTAGTTCTTGGGCTGGGCCTTGTGCATCCGGAGAGGGGTACGGGCTGGGTGGCGGTGGGGGTGCGGCGAGCCGGGAGCCGCGGAGGACCCGCCTGCAGGCCTCTCTCTGGGCCGCTGGGTGGCGCTCTAGGGCCACCGCGGCCCGCGCGCCGCTGCCCGGGGCCGGGAGCGCAGGTTCCGTGCACAGTCGGGGAATTTGACTGCCCGGTGGCCTGGGAAGCTTGTTGGGCTCAGTGCAGCCCCCACGTGGAGCCTCAGACGGGGATGTCATGTTGCCTGCGGGTCTATGAGGCTTTTCTCCCCCTCTCTGCAAGGAAATGTCGAGGGTGCTGCGTGTTTGCCCAGACGACTTACTCTCCTAGAAGATAAGACTTATTCTCAGTGTCCTCTTTCTGGGACGTTTGCATCCATCCCTCTCCAGAGCTAGTTAGTCGGAGGATAACAAACTGCTATCCCTGACTTTTTCTGTGATCCTTGCGAATATCTTGCAGATTTGTTTGGAGTGCCTCTCTCTTCAGAAACCTGTAACTTTATTTGTAAAATAAATTTAAGTTCTCCTGCTTTCTAGTATCTCAACATAGGGGGAGAAAAGACCCAGTTTAAGTAACTGTTAATATTTCTAAATTTCGAAGGAGAATCCTTTCTCATTCAAAACCGAACTAAAACTAAGTGACTTGATTCACAGAAGTCTTAACGCTGAGATGTCTAAATTGGGTGGGCTTCAGCACGTAAATGACTGTTGACAACTAATAGACATTTTACCACCGCTGTGGCTTTACCTTGTTGTGGAAGTTGGGTTCGGACACCAGGATAATAGAATCTTCCTCTCATTTCCCCCAGATCCTTGACAGTATAACTTGATGACTTCTAATCCTAAGGAATTGCATACCTTGGTTTTCAGGTACAGCCATTTAAACAGGGTGCAGTGTATTGACAGTTCAAGGAAGTCCAGGAGTCGCGTGGATTTGTGTGCTACAATTTTGTTGTGGAAAATTGTACTGTAATACTTCTCGGTACTGTAAGCATTTTTAATGTAGAAATTATACTCTGTAATGTTTTTGGAAATAAAACTGTTTAAACTCTTTGGGTTGTTTAACCTTTTAAAGTAAAATAGCTGCTATGACAGTGGAATGTTACTTTTGAGAGTAGTGTCTTAAATCTAACTTTATGGATAAGCCAAGTGTATGTAGTAGTTGAGATTGTCTAGTGAGGCACTGACTTTCAGCACATTGTCTGAGACACTACCTCTTAATTTATTTTACTTGTATCAACTTTAGAGTAGCATGGTGCCAATTTGTTTATTTTTTAATAAGTGATTTGTTTTTAAAAATTAAAGTGCTTGTGACTGCAGAATCTTGTCTTTTGGTTTTATTTTTATTTCTGTTTATAAGTTTTACAGATAATACTTTCAAGTATTGGGGTGTTGGTGTTACCCTGCCCTGGAAATTAATTTGTAGTTCTTGTTTTGCAGTCAAGGAAGGGGAAAACCTTGATTAAAGCAAGACAGCACTACAGTACACTTAAGACATTTAGTTAAGTCTTGCTTCTGTGAATACTTTGGACAGTCCCAAGAGTTACAACTTAAAGTTTAACAAGCCTTGATACTCCACTGAGCTGCTCAGTGGAGTATCAAGGCTTGTTAAATCTTACAGATAGATTTTATTCGCTGAAATAATTTTGACTTTTTTTTTTTTCCCATGAGACGGAGTCTCACTCTGTTCAGGCTGGAGTGCAGTGACACCATCTCAGCTCACTGCAAACTCCGCCTCCCGGGTTCAAGTGATTCTCCTGCCTCAGTCTCCCCAGTAGCTGGGATTACAGGTGTCCGCCACTACTCCCGGCTAATTTTTGTATTTTTGGTAGAGTTCGGGTTTCGCCATGTTGGTCAGACTGGTTTTGAACTCCTGACCTCAGGTAATCCGCCCACTTCGGCCTCCCAAAGTGTTGGGATTACGGGCGTGAGCCACCGCCCGCAGCCAATTTTGACATTTTATACTGCAGTGGCTATTAATAGTTTTTAACACGTGGAGTACCTAATTTTGAAACACAGGGATTTTTTTTTTTTTCTTCAAATGGCCTTTTTCCATCATCTGTTTAGAATTTTTCACTTCACATCCAACCAAAACTATGAATGAGAGAAGCATAGACCTGAAGAATAGATACCGAACTTAATGGAAGAATGTAAAAAGTACCCGGTAAACTGCTCTACAGTCCTGTGGTTCATGCTTTTAGTGGTAGGCTGTGTAAATCACGATATTGAAAGTAGTGTGTTATGCAGTATTTGAAAAGGTATACTAAACATAAAGGTAATTGAATTCTGGATTCACCTTAGAAAAACAAAAACTTTTTGATGATTTGCTGAAGCATTTTGTATTTCTAATAAAGAGGAAGTTCTAATAAAGTAAACTTCTGCCTTTGACTGACACATTAGTTACGGGTCACAATAGATATTTGTTATAATAGTTATTTGTTTTCCTCTTAGGTCACTGTAACATAGAACCTGAATTGACTGTTTTAGAAAAAATGTATGTAGTCCTATGTTGGTCATGAAAGGTGAGGATAGTTTTTTTATACACCACCTCATTAAAGCACTTAATGATCAAAATAATTTGCAGAATTGTCATGTGAAATACACCTAGTAATTATTACATTGTTTCTGTGATAAACGACAGAAATCCAGGTCTTTTAACACTGGGAAAATAAGTACTCATGTACTTCCGTTTAACCAGTTTTAATAATATAAGCTGAACACACTGGCCTAATGAGTCAGACTTTTTAATATTTAAGAAACAACTTTTAAGTAGAAGCCCCCCCCAAAAAAAAATAATTTGGAGGTGAAAAATATTACTGAACTTTCCATCTTTTTTTTTAATTATTGTAGTGGGATCAAAAAAGTAACTTCAGATTGTAATAAATTGAAGGATTTGACTAAGTTAAAGATGTTAGAGATTAAATGTGAATTCGCAGAATGTGATGCATCGAAATTTGCCAAGTCTAAAAGTGACATTGGCCCGACTCCATGGCTCACGCCTGTAATTCCAGCACTTTGGGAGGCTGAGGAGGGTGGATCACTTAGGTCAGGAGTTCGAGACCAGCCTGGCCAACATGGTGAAAACCCAATTCTACTAAAAATACAAAAATTAGCCGGGCGTGGTGGCATGTGCTTATAATCCCAGCTACTCAGGAGGCTGAGGCACAAGAATCGCTTGAACTTGGGAGGCAGACATTGCAGTGAGTGGAGATAAACCCACTGCACTCCAGCCTGTACAACAAGGGCAAAACTCAGTCTCAGAAAAAATTTAAAAGGAACGTGAAGGAAACAATGTATTTAATGAAGTACAGATGTAACTTTTAAATCACAGGGAAATAATAGACTGTCAGCTCTGTGAGATAATTGAATCCCTTTGGGGTTAAAAAAAAAAAAGTTTAAACAAAGTGCTTGGTGGGGGGGGGTCCTATGTCCTATTATGAATATTTTAACAATGTTAACTTTAAGATTATAATCTTAAATCTTGTGCTACTGCTTCACATTCTGTTGAAAGGTTAAACTTAGCAAATGGGTTAATATTATCAAATGTTTTTATAAAAACTGACTCGATTAAAATTCAAGCTTTATGTTGTTACATTTCTCCTTTATGGAAGCATCACTTTAAAAGACACTCTTAAAAGTCAGTTTTAAGATGATATTTAGCAAAATGGAGCTACTGTTTCATAGTAGTTTTACTTTTCATTGGGTTGTCTAGGTTGCATTGTTCCATTTATCAGGAGGTGGCAACTTAACTTACTCTCCTGTTACCTAGATGGGGTTGGGTAGGATATTTGGTGCAGTTAAGTTGTTGATGATGTTATCATATTGATGCTAACCTGCAGTCACCTTTGAAACTGTTACAAGTAGGATCTAACCACCATAATGAAGCACCTTGGTTCTATAGGATTCTAACAGGACAGAATAGTCCTTATACTCCGGCCTTTTCTGTATTACTGGCACAATATACAGCATTACTAAGTCCAGGTTAAGAACTATTTATAAAAAGTGGACCAGAGTTGTTTTTATGTACATATCCTTGATACGAAAAAA